ACAGCGGAGTGTGGGCGTATGGGCTGTTCACAATGGACTGGATGTTTTCTCAAGTTTCTTTAGAGTGATTGCGGTGTGGGACCTCGAATTTACACCGATTGTGTACTGAATTGCAGCTATGCGACAAAAATTAAATGCAAAATATGAAATATCTTAATTGTCACATAACGAAACCTCAAAATAAAATGGATTGAAAATGAGGTCGAGGTAGTTAGCAAGGTGGCAAGGAGACTAGGCTTAACAGTTAAGGCTAGTGATCAAGATATCAACGAAATAATTTTATTGTATGCAATTGAGCGAGGATAGAGATTGGCTTAAACAAGTGGCAAAAAGTATTTAGAAATAGGAAAACTTAATTTATAAAGGCAACCATATGCTTTCACCTTAGATAAAGGAGCAGGAGTTGAATTTTCCCACACCGATATAAGAAAATCTCATCATACCATTGAATTTAACATTTTCTTGTCCCCCCCACTCATATCATATTTTGAGTGGGATAAGCCATGAAGCAAACTTATATCTTTTAGTTAAGATCGACAACGATACCTAAAGTTAGTAGTTCGAGACTATCAGTAGAGGCTGAGATTAAATGGAATCGTGGGGCTTGTGTAATTTTGGGAAGATTTAAATATTAGTCTCTTAACATATTATGAGACCTAGGATGATAGGCGTTCTTATTCAAGCTGAAAACTAGTCTAAAAACCTACTAATTATGAATAATCGAACTTTATTGCGTCATGTAGTGATGAATATCCGAATATCGCAAAAATGAAAGAAAGATATTATCATAATATGCAGGTTGGGAAGAGAAGATTTTAGGAAGATTTATACCAGATGAATCTGGATCTGCTAAAATCTGCTTCCTGGGCCTAGACCTTCATTTGGCAAGAGCCACTTACCGGCAAGCGTAAAAGAGAGGCTGAAATGAACCCAAATGCTACTAGATGAGATATAGGTCACTTGCTGGTCTACGAGACGATGAGTTCGCAAATGTTAAGCCCGAACGAAGAAATCACTTCATGATTAGGGTTAAATAAGCGTCTATGATTGTGCAATCTAGTTATTAAAGTTGGCCGAACATTTAATTTACCATGAAACGTTGACTTGCATGGTGAAGAGGAAGATAGCATAGAGCTCCGGTCCAATGTATGAGTACTGCTGTTGAAACAAGGCTAATATAGAAACCTCGAGAATTGTACCTATCAATCGACAAGAAAATTGAGGTGAATCTAGTTACATGAACTATTACCCAAAGAACAGCATATTTTAACTATTACTCGACTTGGTACTGACTTCACTATATTTTCTATGAATCCCAATGATAAATCCTCATATCAAAATTGGCCTCGGCATTATCTAAGTATCTCTTGATGAATTAATATGGTTTCGATGTATCTTGTACCCACATAGGCGAAACCCATAATTAATGATAGGAGTTCATTAATGTGGCTAACTTCGACGTGACTCTGCTCGAAAGGGTAATCAAGACCAGATGCACAAAAGCAGTGGGCTTAACCCAGAACAAGAAAGAAGGAGCTACAGGACATAATATGGAAACTAGATTAGCTTTAATATCAATGCATACCGAAGACTCAGCTCCAGCGATCTCAGATGTATTTGTCGACAGACTCGCCCATAACTGGCTAACGTCTTTTCGGCTACCTCGTTTATCAGCATCGTCTTCATCAGTTGAATAGATGCTTCTTCTAGGTCGGAAAGCGGCCATGCCTAAACGAGTTATAAAATACAAGCGATTTTAGTTCAAAATTAGTCCTAGAAAAACTAATACAATTTTGCTTAATTCATTAAAAATATTACAAAATAGTTCTAACTAGCGCATAAGCAAAATTGCAATTTCGAATCCCAATATCAAAAGAGAAACAGAATTTAAATTAAAATATGAATAAAATGAGCTCATCTTTCAACAGAAGAGAATACGACTGAGATTCAATGCTGCTAGTCGTGCCCTAGTTTGCCATACAACTTATCCGACATTGTTTGGAGTTTAGGGAAGTCCTTCGAATTAAGAGCTTCAGATGAGATTTGCTCGAGTATGGTATCAATCATAATTAATGAGTGCGACTTCGTAGTGTTTTTATTAAGCCTAATATCAACGGAAACATCGCATATTCCCCATTAGCTTAGTCTTCATTTAATGTGACAATTTTGGCCTATAAATTCTACAAAATCTAGGTAGACATTTATGTGAGTTTCAGAAAAAGACTGTGATTTATTTGCCTGGCCATCAAATTCTTGGTCTATATATATGCTGGAGACTTCATAAAAGAGTGGGAATCGCACATACTTGGTATATATGTAGATTTAATTGAGGCTAAATATAGTTAGTACACAAATAAAATGGAAACTTTGAACACTTATTTTAAAGGAGAAAATTGATACTAACTGTAATCTTAAATAACCGAGCTCAAATCTCAACGAATGATAAGTTGACAGGTTCCATCCGCATTTTTCCACCTGTGACCTTTCCTTCAATAAACTATTTTAGACCTAGGTGCATGCCAAAAATAAAGTAGATAACTAGAAAAAAAATATTTCTTTTAGTATGTTCCACACGCATCCATGAGTTCATTTTTTTACCAAATAGACCTTTCTTCTCACATATATAGGTGTGATCCTTTTAGGAAACCTATCTCTTAAATGGGTCGGGTAAATTTTAGTAAGTGCACGAGTGGGCAGAAAGTTCATATTTAAAGCCTTTAAGAGAATATCATAATGATAATAACCACATTGAAGGAGTGACTGTGAAATGAAAAGAAGTAGTGAAGCGATGAGTGGAGTGAGAAGGTTTCAATGAGGGAAACTAAGTGAAATATGCTGGAGAATAATTTGAATAAGGGAAGGAAGAGCATGAAAAAATAGAAAGATTAACCTCCAAGTAATTTGTATGCACAGGAGCCGAAATTAGTAGTGGCAAACGATTAGCCATTTCAGCTAGGTTGATCAGTCCGCCTGCTTCTCCTGTAACACCTGAGCTGTTAGCAGGCCAGAAGAGTACCAAACGAAGATGATGCTTCACGTTAGTGATCAAATACTCAGAGCTGACGGAATGCTGATTGGGTGGGCAGACTTCGCCTGCGCTACTGCTAGTTATAGGGTGAGCAAGACCCCAGTTTATACTTCTCGCGGCAAACTGAATTGAGTCTTGTAAAACGGCGTTGTGAAGAGACTTTCTGCTGGTGGGTTTGGTTTGGGTCTGAAAGAGTCAAATAATAGGTATTTGGTGGGTGGAAATCTTAACACAAATGTTTGCAGATTTTAAAAACGCATGGTGTTTCTATAAATTGAGAGGTTTAAATATTACATATTTAAATAAAGTTTAGAATGAGAATTTTCCGATATTTTAGCCAGAACACTTTGGTCTGAGAAACTCTCGCCATCGGCTGACGGAAAGTTACTAGCCCAAACAATTGAACTGGGTCCAGGTACTCTCTACAGTTCATTTTAACAAATAGATATGCTTGAACCAAATCTGACATAGTAAGAGAAAGCCAGCTATTCGAGTCAAGATAAAAGTGGCCGAAAGTAAGAAAAGGAAGACTAAAGTAGAATAAACCATTTAGGATTATTTGAAGGTCCAGAAAGCAGATACTTATAATAAATAGGACAAAATAAGCTCAAATTCATAAACAAAATATACATCTAAATCCAGTATTTACAAAATACACATCATCTTAGAGTGGGTTAATAAACATTATTACTTGTCACGATTTTATCAACATTTGACTAGCTGATAAAGCCAAAACACCATATAAGTTGCATTTAAAGTTTAAATAAATTGCTCTTATAAAGTAACTAATGACGATAGCCTAAAACGTTTTGGGGAATGCAATGCTAAAAAATTGGAGTAAAATGATTTTATTTTATTCTAACATTCCGCGTGAAGGTTTGCGATGAGGGGATTCTTAGTTCGAGCTTGAGAGAATAAGATATTACTTGATTTTGCTGGGACCAATATACTGACTCAGTGTTCTAGAAACTTTTATTTA